GTATTCAGCAATATGGAAGGATGGTCCATTATATTGGAATAAACAATATAAGGAATATACTAGAGATTCAAATAAAAAAGTTGCTTTGAAATATTTACATAATTTACAAGAATCCATTGATACTTTAATAAATGAGGTATGAAATTTCTTTAAATATTTAAATACTTTTTTTTAATTAATATATTCTTATATTTACTGTATATTAGGTTAAAAAATATCCAACAAGATATAAAGCATTTCAAGTATTGTATGGAATATCTCAAAATCCAGATACAGGAGATTATATTTTTGTTCAAAACTACTATATTATAAACTTGACAAATTGGATTAGTGGAAATGAAAAAATTGATGATTTCATTCAAGAAAGGCAATTAAAAATAATTGATGATGATGATATAGGCAATATAGTGCTTGTATGGGTACCATACAATCAGTTCAATGAAATTAAAGAGACAGGTAAAAATGGCCTTATAACAGTATATTCAGCAATATGGAATGATGGTCCATTATATATGATGAGGAATGATAATTTTACAAGACATTCAAATAAAAAAGTTGCTTTAAAATGTTTTCATAATTCACAAAAATCTATAGATTCTTTAATAAATGAGGTATGAAATTAATTTCTTCAATATTTAATCCTTTTTTAATTAATATACTATATTTACAATTTCTTTTATTTATGATTAGGCTAAAAAATATCCAACAAAATATAAAGCATTTCAAGCATTATATGGAATATCTCAAAATCCAGATACGGGAGGTTATATTTTGGTTCTTATCTGGTCAAGTGGAAATGAAAAAATTGATGACTACATTAAAGAAAGGCAATTAAAAATAAATGACTATGATGATATAGTGCTTGAATGGATTCCATACAATCAGTTTAATGAAATTAAAGAGACAGGTAAAAATGGTCTTATAACAGTGTATTCAGCAATATGGAATGATGGTCCATTATATTGGAATAAACAATATAAGGAATATACTAGAGATTCAAATAAAAAAGTTGCTTTGAAATATTTATATAATTTACAAGAATCCATTGATACTTTAATAAATGAGGTATGAAATTTCTTTAAATATTTAAATACTTTTTTTTAATTAATATATTCTGAGAGCATAGTAAACATGTAGTGTATGGTTGGCTTTGTATGTAAGGTATGGTTAAACATCACATATAAAAGTGTCACGTGACATAAGTGATACAGAATAGAACGGTCTAGGCCTTTCCTTATTTGGTAATAAACAATGTAGGTCTGTATGGAATGCATGTGAAATTTTGCATACCCTACATACATAGGTATCCATACACTACATGTTATCGTAACACCCATATATTCTTATATTTACTGTATATTAGGTTAAAAAATATCCAACAAAGTATAAAGCATTTCAAGTATTATATGGAATATCCAAAAATCCAGATACAGAGGATTATATTTTGGTTCTTATCTGGTCAAGTGGAAATGAAATAATTGATGATTTCATTTTAGAAAGGCAACTAAAAATAAATGACTATAATGATATAGTATTTGAATGGATACCATACAGTCAGTTTAATGATATTAAGGAAATAGGTAAAGGTGGTTTTTCTACAGTATATTCAGCAGAATGGAAAAATGGTCCACTAGAATATGATGCAAATATAGAAATCTACAATAGGAATCCAAATAGAGTAATTGCTTTGAAATGTTTGCATAATTCCCAAAGTATTACTGATAAATTTTTAAATGAGGTATGAAACTTTTTTAAAAGAATCACTATAATAGAATAATCTTTTATTTAAACATAAGTGTAATAATTAATTTTGATATCAATTTATATTTTAAAGGTTAAAGAATACTCAATAAACAAAAGTAGTAATATTCTTAATATATATGGAATATCTCAAAATCCAGATACAAAAGAATATATTATAGTTCTTCAATATGCAAAAAATGGAAATTTTAATAATTGGATAAATAAAAACTATAAATATTTTAATTGGGGCGATAAACTATCTGTATTACTTAATATTATTAAGGGTCTTAAAGAAATTCATCAAAGAAATTTAGTTCATCGTGATTTTCATACAGGAAATATATTATTTTCAAATTTCATAAACAATTTTAGTAACTGTGTATTAATTTCAGATATGGGATTATGTGGTGAAGTTGATAATATAGATGAAACAAAAATTTATGGAGTTATGCCTTATATGGCTCCTGAAGTATTAAGAGGAAATCCTTATACTCAAGCAGCAGATATCTATAGTTTTGGGATGATAATGTATTTTGTAGCAACTGGAAAACAACCCTTTGGCAATCGTGCACATGATTATGATTTGGCATTAGATATTTGCAAAGGAGCTAACCCTGAAATAAGTGAGCCAGAAGCACCAAGTAATTATATTGATTTAATGAAAAAGTGTTGGGATTTAGACAAAAATAATAGACCTGATGTTTTTGAGGTAAATAAATTAATTACATCATTTCATGAGTTATATGGGGAGGATTTTTTTATTGTAGAAAATGAAGAAATTGAAATACAGTTTAAGAAAGCAGAAGAATATAGAAAAGCAAATCTTTCATCCACTGAAAATTACCAAATAGTTACCCATCCGCAAGCTATTTATACATCTCGATTACTTAATCCTATTACAAAAGATCTTCCAAAAAATAATGATGATTATAATTCTCAATCTTTGGATTATTGTGCACTTCCAATTAGTTTCAAATGATATATAATAAAGTATAGTAGAATAATAAATTCTGATTAATATTTGACATATATTGTATGAATAACTACTATTTTATAGAAATTTATAATTATATATAGTTTTGTTCAAGACTATGTATGGATATGTAAATTTTTTTTTTGCACGAATAAATCAGTTTGACAGTTTGTAATTGGACATATTAAATCTATTGTATTTTCTGATGTAATAGACAAATGTCAGTATCATTAGCACTTTAATAAAATAATTCTTCAATGCTTCTATAAAAAAAGAATGTCCAGAAATTGGCATTGAAAATGCCTGGAAAGTGAAAAATGCCCAGAAAATTGCAATATCCTAAACACTTTCTGGGTACCATTTCCTGGATATTTTCTGGAAATTTATAATATCTCAATATCTGGAATATTGCAATTTTCTAGACATTTTTTAAACTCTTGGACATTTTCTGGACATTTTTGATGACAATTTCCAAGCATTCTTTTTTTATAAGAAGTGTAAATTTGTTGATGTATTCAGCAAAATAAAACTTTTCATTCCTTACATTCATAAAAATGTTAACACAATATTCACAATATTAAAATGTTTCATGTAAACTGAATTTAGGAATCAAATTGAGCTGACTGGCTTGATTAACTAAAAGGTTTAAAACTCAAGCAGGATAAGTAATAATAAAAATAAATCAAATGATAATTTTTATTAGAAATTTATTTTATAGCTTCCATTAAAGGCTTCTAGACATGCATACAATATTGTAAGTGTAATCAACAAGTTTTGGTATTTCTCAGTTATCTAATATAGTAAGGACTTAGATATAATGCCAAAAATTCATCTTCAGACTGACAAATAATATTTTTAAGCCAATAGCTATAAAAATTTTTAACATTACATCAACTTACAAGGATTTATCGTAGCATAATCAATTGTTGTAAATAATAAATACTATCTTTAAGCTATCGCTTTAAATGAATAATGCAAATAAATTTGTTTAAAGAAATAATTCAATAAAGGACTATGAATTTTCTTTCATTCAATATCAAATTAAAAAATTGACTTGCTGTCCGAGAATAGAAAAAGATTATAATATTTAGCTATGCTAATTTCTAGACGATTGATTTAATAATTAATTTTTGCCCAGATCTAGTATAAATAACATGTTCTAACATAATACAATAATACATGTTTCAATTTAAGAATAATTTTTGTAAAAAGGTTTTAAGAGAGATAAAAATTTGGATGCAAGTTAAATTTCAGGAACGAACTCAAGAAATTTACTAAAAATTTGAAAATGAAGAGTAATTTTACACTATTTTTATATTGAGTATTTTTTTATAATAAATTAATATGTATTCAATTATTATCTATGTAAAATTTTAAATCTTAATTTTCCCAATTCTTGTGGATTTAATTTACAATAAATTTTTTTTTTTTTTTTTTTTAAAGAAAAAAAAAAATATGAATAATAAAATTTGCACATATTTTAAGACGTATTTTCGTATTGATTTTTCTCTTGCAAGACGTACAGTCGTACAGTATAGTATCTGAAATCTGAATTCAAATCTGCGCCACATAATTTACTAGTTAACTACAAGTACGAGTTTATTACAGCAGGACGGTTAGATTAAATTTTTTTTTATTAAATTTTAGCGTAAGTATTAATAATATTTAATTTTGGAATTACATGTCTGTGAGATACATGCTCACAAATTTTTTTTCATAATAATTAAAATTAACACTCACTATTTAAATTTTTTAAAGAAACGAAAATGTACTACATTCTACAGTAATGGAAATGATATTTTAAGCTACTATTTTTATGTTTAACTCCATCTTTAGAATGGATTCTAATTATGAATTTAAAATGCCGGATATCTTGATAAAGGAGAATTCAATATTATACGCAAAAAGCTATTTATAAATAAAAAGAAGCTGTTCTTAAATTATAATTAATGTCTTAATCATTTAAAATTTTTGAATTGAAAATTTATACAAAAGTTTCAAATGAAATATGATTAATAAGTTTTTATTTATTTTTTAATTTTAATTATAATTTGTATTTATTAAGAATTTTATTACTGTATAAATTTAGTCCACTCGCTTTACAACGAATTTTGATTTAACGAATTTCTTAATATAGCGAACCTTCGGCAGGACCCCGAAATATATATAGAAAGGTCAGAGGCAGCCAAAAAATTTTTACTAATAGCTGTACGCATTCTTTCAGGGCCGGAATTATGATAATTTTGGCGAGTGACCAAAAAAGGAAATATCTTTTCACCGGGAATTATCTAAAAAAGGAAAGATTTTCATGTTTTTTTTGGCTGGTTGTACGCAAACTCGGATCTGACCTTTTTATGTATATTTCGGGGTCCTCCTTCGGCGTTGTACCAATATTATCATATAAAAAAAATCTTACTATACCGAAGATTACTAGTAAAATGCTGTATACCGTTTAACGAAGTAAGTCTATGACCAGTGTATATAATATATATATAAAATAACTCTTATTATAGCGAATTTTTGTTCATAACGAATTTTTATTTAAGATATTTTGTGATGTGACATGCCTTAACCATAGTACAAGTATTATACAATTTACCACAAGTCCACAATATACCAGATTTTCATATCACGTTAACGAATTTTCAGGCCTGATTTGCTAGTATACTGTAATGTTAATTCAAACCCAATTATTTAGTTATATGGATTTAAGATACCCAGAATTTATGGATTATGCGAAAAAAGGTAATTTAAAAAGATGTTAACAAAATAGTTATAAATACTATAGTTGGAATCAAAAAATTATGTATGTCGTATAGATTATTATCGAACTTAATGATGTTCATATAAAACCTTCTTGTGATTTTCAAGACTCTCTCACTTTATTTTATTTGTACCAAGATTAAAGCAGTTAATTATTTTAATAATTTCCTAGTTGTAATTTAATAGTTATTTTTTTTTCAATTATTAAATATAAATTATTATTTATTTTATTTACAGTATTATTAAATGGCATCAAATTGATCAAATGTATTAGGATAGGAAACTTAATAACGAAAATTTCAATCAATAAATTATTTAATTATTTTATATTACCGAAAATTAACAAAATGTAACTCCGTGAATAGACATTATAAAGAAAATTTCTCTTTTAAAATACAAAGAAATAAAAATGACAAATTTATTTTCTTCAAATTAATCGAAAACATAATCCCTTGGCTTTCAATAACGCAAATACAAATGGTTAACGGAAATGTTTTAATGTAGGTTGAAAATAGGGATGGCAACGGTCGGTCATGGTCGGTCATCGGTCGGTCATAACCGGTCAAGAACCTTTGACCGACCGACCGACCGTTTGACCGACCGTTTGACCGATCATTTTTTTTATATTTTCTCAGCGTTTTTATTAAGGAAATTGAAAAAACGTGCGAAAACGTTTTTTTTATTAAATTATTAATAAAAAACGTTTTCGCAACGTTTCTATTAAAATAATTAAAAAAACGTTGCGAAAACGTTTTATTTTAATTAAATTACTAATAAAAACGTTTTCGCAACGTTTTTTGTTAAAATAATTAAAACCGTTTGCGAAAAACGTTTTTTAAAATTAAATTATTAATAAAAAACGTTTTCGCGACGTTTTTTATTAAATTTTTCATAAAAAAATTTGGTCGGTCAAACGGTCGGTCAAACGGTCAGTTAAACGGTCGGTCAGAAGTCTTGACCGACCGATATCGGTCACGGTCATGACCGGTCATAATCGGTTAATGACCGTGACCGTTGCCATCCCTAGTTGAAAATATGAACCGGATAAAAAATGGTTTTATCACAAAATACACGAGATTGTAAATTACAACTTACTAGTACAACTATGTTTTGTGAACTTTTTATTATTATAAATAATTAAACTAGGAATTAAATTTGACTAAAGGTTTACTATGAATTGTCAATATAAATTTATTCGAATAATATACAAACGATTGTTCTTATTATGAACATTAATTAATTACTTTCTTGATACAGATACCATAAGGACGTAAATCTGCACCATCAGGCGAAATCCAATATTCACCAACTCCAGTTTCGCCTTTTGAAATTCTAATTAAATTATTTGGATTAACTCTATTTTGAAATACGACTCTATAATCATCACCATCATGATTGAATTTAGTAGCATATTGATACGCAACATCAATATCTGGAGTGGAATAAATTCCATGGCCAAATAAGAATCGTTTACCTTTACACAAGAGATAACCATCTTCAGCGATTGATTTGCAATTATTTTTTGCAGTTCCGTGATAAGAAACTATTTAAAAAAAGGTACAATATATAAAAAAATGATGATGAAAAAATTAATTAAATTGAAATATATTAATAGAAAAATATTTTAAATAACTGAACTTACCAGGCCATTCATTTTGTACCGAACATGTTGAATATTTTCTTTTACCAACGCCAAGCCAAGCATTGTCTTCATATTTATTAAGAACGTTAAGAGCAATTCTTTTCCAACCGCAAGGACGTTTATATTCAAAATTCCCTCTCATAAAAGTTAATCCATTATCATTTATATTTGTAAAATCATAATCATATTTTGGGTCAAGTTGATCCGGATGAATAAATAATGTATTACTAGGAGAATCAGCACATTTTAATCTCAATATATATATAGTAGATTCGCATTGTATATTACATTCAGCTAAAGTGGAATCGCCTTTAACTAGTAATCTACCGGCAAAAATTAATTTTTGTTGATTTGGAGGTATGCCATCAATAGTATGAATTTTCGTTTTTAACTGATCAATTGTTTCATCAAGATCAACAACTACAGTTATAGTTTTACCCGTTAATGTTTTAACGAATACACAGTTTTGTTTAGATAATCTGATGGGTGTTCTACGATTAACTAAAAATCTTCGGGGCAGTATTCTTGGTTTATAGTCATTATCATTTACGTTGTTAGTTGGAACTTTACCGCCAATTAAATGAGATTGATGAAGAGATATTTCATCCAATTGATTATTTCCAGAAAAACTGTTATTAGAAACTAACTGATTATTTCCAGGATTATTGTAATGAGGAATAAATGGATTATTTCCAGAATAATCATCATAAGGAACAATTGTGCTATTCGTAATAGCACTTAATGCTGCGGATAATAAAACTTGGTTTGACATTTTCTCGATTTTTTTTAATACGCGAAGAAAATAAAAAAAAAATAACGTTTATAACGTTTATTATTATTATTTTTTTTTTTTAAAAAAAAAAGGGGGTGTTAAAGGAAATTATGTTTCATTTAAATATTGTAATTAATCATTAAAGTATAAGAATGATCCTATTTTTAAAAGTTTTCTTTGTTTGGATTATCATGAAACCGAATGTTGTACCAAGCATTGTTATTATTAGAAAGATCATAAAAAGAAAAAACACAAAAGAGAAACATGATTTTTTATGCAAGATGAATTAACAGTGAAACCATACTTTATTTGGGTAACAAATTAAACCTGCATGTACAAGTATATCATGATTTAAAAACGTCCCTATGAGATCATCGACAACGTCGTACAAATATTTTCTAGACGTTTCATGCTTGTCTTTTAAAATACTATATATAGTTATTTTATTGTAAAAAATACTACATTAATATACCAAATATTTTTTTTGTTTATTGTTGGATCGTATTTGTTCTTAGAATTTTTTTATCATCCCTTTTAAACTTTTTGTAAAAATTGATAAAATCAAGCGTTAATTAATAACAAAGGTATTTAGATCATATCTTGCGATGATATACCCATTATTATCACTTGATGAACTTAATGATTTACTTTAAAAACCAGATTGTATTAAAAAAGAGAAAATAGTTTAGTTATTGTTGCCCAGTTATTGGGTGGATTTTGATCACGTGATCTTATTTCGTTGGAAACTTGGAATAACTTTTAATCGTAATAATTTAGTTAAAATTATTTCCTTCATTGTATTTAATGTTTGTGCGCGATTATTATTCTTTCTAAATGATTTTCAAAATGTGTTTTGAAGAAAGCAAAAGAGGTATTAAACAAAGAAAAACTTTGAATTGATTTATATAAGAAAGTCGTACGGCGTCAAATAATGATTTGATGAGCATAGTTTAGTCAACGCAAACCAACAAATAACATAATAACGTAAATAGTTTTTCATAACAAACCAAACATTTAATCTTAAAATCGATAACTAGGAAGATGTATATAGCTCGTGATATATTATTTATTAATTATTATTCGAATAAATTCGTAAATAGTTTTTTTTAAATTAAGAATTTAAATACAAACAAATCAAATGATTTAACATTTTGATGAAAAACTTTTGACGAACATTTAATTTTTTTTTATGTAATATTTAATACCATATATTATTTGTTTATTATCATGTGACATGATGACAACATTTGATTTTTATAATTTTGTCGTACAAAAATTTTTAAAAATTTAGTTAAAGCATATTTGTTTATTTTATAATTTACCTTACATTTCCCCACATTTTTTTTTTTTGGTATTCCTAGTTGGTGACCTGTTGTAACAGCGAATTCAAAAATTCTTGATTAATAATTAATATAATTGATGTGTAACACTTGAAACACTTGAATATAATTGAGGAATTTCTTTGCTATTTAAATTTTTTTTTTAATACGTAATTCATTTCTTACGTAATATACTCTGTTTAAAAAATTCATTGTGAATTTGCGATACTTTATATGTCAATTTTATGGAGAATATATTTAAATAATATATTATTATGGCTTAAAATATATAAAGATATAATTACTGGAATAATTGATACTACAGTTTAAAAGGAATATTCGTTAGACCACCGAAATTATCTAACGCGAAATAAAATTACTGAATGGCGAGAAGCCGATATATTGTAAATTATAATGACTTATTTTTCTACAGGTTTCTTCTTTAATTCCAGTAAAAGATTATTTGAGTATAACATTTAAAAATTAATAATAACAAATTTAGGATTGTTTTTATTTGTATAACCGGTAATGTCCGGTACATCAAATTGAATCAAAGTTTTAACTTTTTGTTACTTCCAAATAATAAACTTTTATGCAAAATTGTTCTTTTTAAGATTAATTGCAAAATGTTTATCTATACATATCGTAAACTTACTGTAAACGACTTTTAATTAATTTAATTTCGCTAATACAAAGTAAATTTATTAATAAATTATTTAATTATTATCGGAGTAAAACAACCGAAACGTACTTGGCCACGTGCCACGCAATGATTTCTAGGTGTCACTTCTTTTTTAAATTATAAAATCTTCACTTAATTTTTAAAATAAAATATTTAAACATCTTATTTCACAAAGTTTTAGAGATCATTATTTAAAGAATTTTTCATTTACTAGCGATATAAGTATTATTTAAACAAAGGCTTAAAATATAAATGAAATAAAGCCATTTTAAGATGATGTGCAAGTTATCAATGAATCATTACTAACATCATCTTGAATAAAATTTGTAATCAAAAAGCTGACGTCAATATCACTAGATTTGAAGTTCACAGTAAATTAAGCATTACAAGGAGTATATAGTGAAGTAGTATGGTACGATATGATATAATAAGTAAGGTATTATTGCCAATCGTACCGAAATACTACCATAGGAATTATAATATCACATAAATAACCTTTTGATATGATTAATCACATTATAGTGAAAATTCCGAATTACAGAATGAATCTTGTTTTAAAAAGTGATTTTTTCAAAAAAAGAAACACAGGATTAAGAATTCAGGTAAAATTTACTGAAAACCGCTTAGCTGGCTGAATTTTAAATATTTTGAAACAATTAAATAAATCTTTAATGTAAATTTTTTTTTTAAGATATAAAAGCGTAATTTAAAGGACGTTGATATAGGTATTACATTTTATTAGGTGATTTCGTACCGTACCTATATTTATATACGTTAAAGATCAGCAAATGGAGAAAGCATAACTTCATACCTAAAAAGCAATAAGGTACAATATCGTAACAAATACACAAGAACATACCATAACCCGCCTAACATCATATTTTTAATAACATCAAAATTCAAATATGTCATTACACATTTTATTATTTTTACTATTTTTATTTATTACACATATATTGAATCCCATTGAAAATTATATTCTTTAATAAACCCATTTTCATATATTTTTCAATTATCATTATTACTTTTGGATCATAAATTTCACTATAATGTCCCATAATATTTAATGAAAGTAAATTTTGTGGATTATTATTAAATTTTTTCCAATTAATAAAATATTCTTCTAATCCTATTAATACTTTACAAGTTGATTTCAATTCTAATTTTATTTTTAATTCATGAAAATTTTTTGATGAATATTCTCCCAAAATACCAAATAATTTTTTACTACAAGTTATTTGATGAATTTGAACTAAAATACTTTCTAAAAATTGACAATTATTTAAAACCTTTTTTAATATAATTAATTCATCATCATTATCTTCAATAAAATTTAAATATAAATTTTTAATATTTGGACAATATTTTGATATTGCTAAATTTATTGATTTATTACCATCATTTATATAAAATTCTGTTAAATTTTTTCCATTAATTTCCAAAAAATTGGTTAAAAATTCAATTTTTGGAAATTCACATTTAAATCTTAAAATTTTTAATTTTGGAAAATTAATAAATTGAAGATTTTCAAAACCAAAAATATCTCCATTATTTGTATAATCAATCCATAAATTAATTTCTTGTAAATTTTTGAACATAGATATGAATGATAATGATTCGTTACACGTATATAATCCTATATTTGTAATTGTTAAAGATGATTTAACTAATGATGGAGTTAATACTCTTATTATCTTTTCATTACAATCATTTTTTAATTCTAAACTTTTTAAATTATTTTGTGAAGAAATTAAATCTGTTAACCCATCTGGAATATTAATCTTATGATACTTATTCGAATAAAGAAAGAATATAATTAATGATTGTATGTGATGACATATTTGTGATAATTGACTAAAAAATTCAGGAGAAATATTTGTATCACATCTTAATTCTACAAGATCCTTTAAACAGATTTTTGTTCCAGGTGAATAAATAAATTCAACATTACTATCAATGCAAAAAGAATAATCCAATGATTTTAATGATGTAACTTGATTCATAAACATTTTTAATATTTCTTGTATTAATAAATGGTATCCATGATTAAATACTCCTAAAATATTTATTTGTTTAAATACAATTGCCCAATTAATCAATTCCTTGATTTTAACATATGAAATGACTTTACAAAATGATGGATAATTAAATAATGCATGTTTTTCTGTAAAATTAATAAAATTAATTCCACTATTACGTAAACGTTCCATTGATTCTTTAGTAAGAAAAGTAATTAACATATTAAAAATTGATAATCTCGTTTTAGGTTCATAATTATTATTTTGAAAATTCCAAACATCCTTCCATAAAATTTCAACTGCAACTTTACAATAAAGTCGATTAACTAACAAACATGAATATAAAGTAGTTTTATCATCTTCTAAATATTCAAATATATTATTAAGACATTCTGTGGGAAGTTGACTAGACATTGTATTGTGATATACTTGATATTTTTCGAGGAAAAAAAAAAAAATAATAATTTTTTTACTCGGCGTATAAAACTGTTACGAATTTATCTATTTTAATTGCCCTTGTTTTACATATTTGGTTAGTGTAATTTTAATTACCCTTGTTTTACATATTTGGGTAGTGTAAAATTTATTTATCCAATCATGCCAATCATATTGGTCAAGTTGTATAACGCACAATTTAACCAATTTATTATTATGAAGCGCAGGTAGTACCCGGATTTATGTTACTCGATTATGTTAATCAACTGCGGTGATTGCAACACAACGAATCATATTTACAAGATTGTGACTATTAACATACTAACGTTAAAGAGTCGATTAAATAATAATCCATTCTATCTATCAGAAAATCAGAATAGTTTTATGTTGTTATCATTTCTTTTGAACCCATATCAACAGTTGAGAAATACTGTATAGCTAACTGTATTATTCGCCAAATATTTATTGGCTAAATCAGCACGCCTTTCGTATTAATACTATCAAGTTATACTTATTGAGTTATATTATTAGCGGCACAAATAGTAAATGGACTTAACCGAGCAAATTATCATACCAAAAAACAAACAAATTCATCCTACAATTTCTATTTTCGTAATATAGTATTGAATCAAACTGAAAAGTCGTTTAATAAAATTAACTAGTATTGAATCATATCATATGTAGATTTTTAGTACACCATGAAAATTCTGACCAACTTTATATATTGGTGATTAAAGTGATAGCATAATCAAATAAAATTCTTCTAACTTTAATCCGTAAAAAATAACCAATAAAATGAGATATAGCACATAGATCATTGAAATTACGTCTAAAATTATTTGTTATTAATACAACCATACTAATAAAAGGATTACATTTCATAATTTTGTTTCACAAAATGATACTGACGAAATTCGTAGCATAGACAAAGAGTTTTTCTTTTCTCAATTTTGGTCATTTCGAACAATCAGAGGACCAATATCGAAATGCCAAAAATAATGAAATTCTTTTCGTTGTTAAATATGAAATGTCGATCAAATGATCAGCGTTCATAAGACATTCGACCAGTCATTTTTTTTTTTATATTTTTCACGATAATGGCCGAAAAACGGAGAACAAATTCCTGATTGCCGATCATCCGGACCGGTTTAATCGCAGAAAATCCCCTGGAATTCCATGACGATCTACGCCTGAGCCGGGTCCGGATCACGTTGCGCCGTTGCGGCTAATTATTTTTCGGCTAACTACACCATTATTTTTTCATTTTTTCACGCTCGTTATTATAAAATTTTTAATAAGGTATGTAACATAATAAAATAAACCAAGTTGATAAAGGAATCGAAAATATTGGTTTAAATTTTAATTATATTTTTTAGTTCTTTATACTAAATCACTAAATTTTAATAATAATGCCCAAGGTCTAAAAAATGTAAGTTAATTAGATAAATTTCATATCATAATCCACACCGTAATATCATAAAATAATAAAATAGGCAAATTTTATATATTAACTATATATTAACATTAAAATATGATTCAAGTATGATTCAAAGTTAAAGAAGTTTTTTCTTAATTTATTATACAATACATGATGCGAAGCGTGATTTTGTTATTAATATTAAAGGAATTTGTATAATGTTATGAAAAAAATTTAATAAGAAAAAAAATTTTTTTCAAATAATTGTGACTATGATCGACATCGAATATTACCAAGAAAGCTTCATTACGTAATACTTACATAAGTAATTTTTTGCCAATTGTTGTGTTACCTATTACTTGTACGTTACATAGTTTATTATAAATAAAGATTTTTTTTTTGAAAAAATTTTTGAGCTTTTGAAAACAATGTTTCCTCAAAATATACCTTTAACAGAAGATAATATTCTGGAATATTTAGAAACCAATTTTACAAATTGGACCAGCGGAAATGAAAAAATTAATAGTTTCATTAAAGGAAGACAATTAAAAATAAATGTCTATGACTATAATGATATAGTGCTTGAATGGATACCATACAATCAGCTTAATGGAATTGAAGAGAAAGGTAAAAATGGTCTTACAACAGTATATTCAGCAATATGGAAGGATGGTCCATTATACAAGTTGTTGAATGGTAATGATTACACAAGAGATTCAAATAAAAAAGTTGCTTTAAAATGCTTACATAATTCACAAGAATCTATTGATTTTTTAATAAATGAGGTATGAAATTCTTTAATTATTTAAAAATGTTTATTTTAATATATTTACATATCCTTTATTTATATTTAGGCTAAAAAATATTCAACAAACCATAGAGCAATTCAAGTATTGTATGGAATATCTCAAAATCCAGATACAGGAGATTTTATTTTTGTTCAAAGCTATACTATAAATTTGACAAATTGGATTAGTGGAAATGAAAAAATTGATGATTTCATTCAAGAAAGGCAATTAAAAATAAATGACCATGATGATACTATAGTGCTTGAATGGATATCATATAATCAGTTTAATGAAATTAAAGAGACAGGCAAAAATGGTCTTAAAACAATATATTCAGCAATATGGAAGGATGGTCCATTCTATAAGTATAGTAATAGTAGTTATACAAGAGACTCAAATAAAGAAGTTGCTTTAAAATGTTTACATAATTCACAAGAATCCATTGATTCTTTAATAAATGAGGTATGAAATTTCTTAAGTATTTTTTTTAATTAATATATTTACAATCTCTTTTATTTATATTTAGGCTAAAAAATATTCAACAAGCTATAGAGC